CTAAAACACTTTCTTTTTTGACCTGGCAGTGGGTGACTGGGTGTGGCTTATGAGCCTGGCAACAGACTCTCAGGCCAGTGTACACCTTAAAAGGTCAGAATTTGCCAGGTACTGTGGTATGTGCCCAATGACTCAGGAAGCTAAGGCAGGAGAACTGCAAGTTTGAGGCCAGCCTCAGCATTTTAGCAAGGCCCTAAGCAACTTGGCAAGACCCTGTCTCAAAAATAGAAAGGGCTGGGGATGTAGCTTAGTGGTGGAGTGCCCCAGGGTTCAATCCCCAGTGCCCCCCAAAAAGAAGAAAGAGTTTAGAATTTGCCAGGCACAATGGCCTATACCTAATCCCAGCTACTCAAGAAGCTGAGACCTGAAGATCCCAAGTTCAGGGCCCACTTGTGCATCTTAATATAAACCCTGTTTTAAATATTTTTTAAAAGGGGCTAGGGATGTAGTTCAGAGGTAGCATGCTCTGGATTCAACCTCTAGTACTTGGGGGAGGGGAAGTCAGAATTCAAGGGACCAGAGATATATACTAATAATGACCAATAAAATATCTTGACAGCATCCAGTGACATATATGGGTTGGGTCTGCTATTTCCTGAGAAATGATATAATTTCTCACCATAAAGGTGTTCTGAGTAGAAATGCCTATAAACTTTGTGCCCATCTGAATGGTCTCTGCCTTCAAGCAGGTTGGATCCTATTAGGTTAACTTCAGTTTGTGTTTTTCCTGAAATTATCACTTTGAGTAAAATGGAAAGACCTAATATAAATGTAAAGAGATTTCTTTGGGCTGGGGATGTGACTCAAGCAGTAGCGCGCTCACCTGGCATGCGTGCGGCCCGGGTTTGATCCTCAGCACCACATACAAAATAAAGATGTTGTGTCCGCTGATAAGTAAAAAATAAATATTAAAATTCTCTCTCTCCCCCCCCCCTTCTTTCTCACTCTCTCTTTAAAAGATTTCTTTTAAACATTTGGTAAAAATCACATTCATTGAGTTAATGCACATACATGTGAAACATTTTGTAGGGCTTCTTTTGGCATGAAAACAAGAAAAACTCAGCTTCAGAATGCCTTTGTGTCCTCGGGGAGTATAAGTGATGGTTTCATAACCTCATCATGGAAGTGAAAATGAAGGGCTGTGCAGATTGGCACAGGGCATGCAATTACTGAGGAATTTCATGTGAGCCCACTCCTGGTGTTTTCCTGGGCATCTGTGCCAGGGTCAAGCTAGCAAAAATGCCTTCAGGGGTCTGAGACTTAATGTTTTTGTGGACAGAGAAATGGTTGAGTGAATGCCTTTGTTGAGACTTGCCAATTGTACTTTTAGAAGATTTGGAAGAGGAGTAGATTGGTTTGTTGAATCAAACAGATTTATTTTGTTTGGGAAAAATAGTAACATAAATGACCTTTATAGTCTCCATTGATTCAATTTGTTCTGAAGCAGACCTTCTAAGGCTCATAGTCTCTCAGAATGTCTTGCAAAGTAACCAGGCATGCTAATGCACGCCTGTAATCCCAGCAAATTGGGAGGCTAAGGCAGGAGGATGGCAAGTTCAAGGCCAGCCTGGGCAACCTTAGTGAGACCCTGTCTCAAAATACAGAAAGGCCTGGGATGTAGCTCAGTGGTTTAGGGCCCCTGGGTTCAACCTCCAGTTTCTCTCTTTGTCTCATGTTCACATACATGAGAATGTTGTACAAGGGAATGGCTGTATATAATTTAAATGTGAATGAAGTAGTCAAACTCAAGAAGTCTATTTCTTTGGACTCTTAGTGATTTTAGAGCAGAAGGGAGTTAATAAAGAAAGTAAATAAATTAGGGAAATGGCCAATAGGAAGTGATAATATGCAGGGGAACAAGAAATAGTGATTTTTTTTTCCTTTGCCAGAAAAACATTTCTGATTTTTATTTCTTCACATGACTGTACCCTCTTTTTTTTTTTTTTTTTTAGAGAGAGAGAGAGAATTTTTTTAATATTTATTTTTTAGTTTTCGGCGGACACACATCTTTCTTTGTGGTGCTGAGGATCAAACCTGGGCCACACACATGCCAGGCGAACGTGCTACCGCTTGAGCCACATCCCCAGCCCTGTGCCCTCTTTTAATACAGGAGTTAAGGCTGGAAGTGGAGCTGTCTGTTCATTGAAATACAGCTCACTCAAATCGGGTTGGAAAAAACCTGAAGATCCTATATCTAACATAGTTGAAAGCAAATTAATTATGATATTCTTGTTTTGGGTTGGGGGCTGGGAGGAGGGAAATGATTTCCTTTGGTTGCCACTGCCTCTGCACCACAGCACCAGGAGGATTTAGTCCGCTGTACTAACCCAGGAACTGCCAGTTCCCCATTATCACCAAGATCCTAGCAGCCAGGTTGCTAGATGCATTTGTGGCATTGTGAGCTGTGAGCTAATTAAGTAGATAAACAATTTTTGGAAACGATGAGTGTTGATTCATGTTTCCATTTTTTTTTTATTGATGATTCTTCCAGTTTTCAAAGATGTGCATAATTGGTATATGAATTAAGGAGTGGTAGAGATGAGGTGAGAGTTTCCTGTCCCCTCTCTTGCCCTCCCCCTCACCTTTTTTGTATATATAATCAGATATACATGACAGCAGAATGTATTCATTGTACACAAATGGAGCACAGTTTTCACTTCTGGTTGTAGGGTCACACCATTTGTGCAATCATACATGTACCTAGGGTAGTGATGTCCATCCCATTCCACCATTTTTCCTACCCCATCCCCTATCCTCAGCTCTCCCTCCCCTTTACTCAATCCAAAGTTGCTCTACTCATCTCTCACCCCCACCCCCCATTATGGATTAGCATCCACTTATCAGAGAAAACATTCAGCCTTTGATTTTGGGGGATTGGCTTACTTTGCTAAGCATGATATTCTCCAACTCCATCCATTTACCTTCAAATGCCATAATTTTATTCTCTTTTAATGCTGAGTAATATTCTTCTATGTGTGTGTGTGTGTGTGTGTGTGTGTGCGCGCGCGCATGCATTTTACAGTTTCTTTATCCATTCTTCTATTGAAGGGTCCCCCTTACCTTTTGCAACATTTCAGATCTTTCTCAAAGTCCCAAAGTATATTTTCTTCCTATTATTCTTTTTATCAGTGCTAGAGAGAAATGCTGGATGTTTGTAAGGTAGAGTGGCATAGTGAACCATCTGGGTAGATGTGGGTGGAACAAAGCAAGTAAATATGTTATAGAGTAATAAAATTATCTCAGGTGTCTCTTCAAGAAAGGGTTGGCATGCTGGACATGGTGGCACTAGCCTATAATTCCGGCTGCTTGGGAGGCTGAGGCAGGAGAATTGCAAGTTCAAAGCTAGCCTCAGCCTCTTAGTGAGGCCCTAAGCAACTCAGAGAGACCCTAAGGGCTAGGGAGGTGGCTCAGTGGTTAAGCGCCCTAGGCTCAATTCTCAGTACCAAAAAAGAAAAGAAAAGAAAAAAAAAAAAAGGCTGGCTGGCTGCCTGCAAAGGAGTGTAGCTGCTCCTGTTAGCAGCTTCAAGGTCTACCCCTTGGAGCCAAGGTCATGCTCTTCCTAGAGGGGTCCCAACCAGTGGCTGAGTAAAGCAGTGATGTAAGAACTTCTCCCTGTCCCCTTATATTGTGTTCCTTTAACTGGCCATCTGTACTAGCTCTCACAGGCTTTGGCAGTCTGTGATCTAATGTGTCCACCCCCCCCCCCAGTCCTGCTTCTTCCTCTCACAGAAGTTACTCATCAGTCAACCTTTTTCATTCTTAATAATGTTTAGTATCTGCTTCCTGAAGAATCTAACTTGGGACACAGTTCTTACATAAGTCACCCTGTTTCCTTAATTTTACCCTTTTTATAAAACCGCAGTCCTTGTCTGCAAGGCTTTGCATGCATCAGTGGTTTTCTCTATACATTTATGGTCTTTTCAGAAAATTTAAGGAATACAGAAAAGTACAAAGAGGAAAATATTAAAATGATCTGTTATCTCCACTAGAAATAACTACTGATGATAGCTTATTTGGGTAAACTTCAGAAAAGTGCATAAGTACTCAGTTCAGTAAATCTTTCATGAACAGAACATATCTGTGTAACTAGTACCCAGTCAGGAAAACAGAACTTTACTAACATTTTAGGAGCTTCCCATTTGCTCGCCACTGTCCTCATTTGTAATATAAGTAAAATTTAAAACTTGACATAAGTATAATTAGGTAGTATATGTAATCTCGTCATCTTTTGCTCAGTATTATGTCTGCAAGGTTTATCTGTGTGTATGTACTCTTCATTCTTGGCTGTATAATATTCTACTGTGCGAATGTACCACCATTTATCTTTTCTAGACATTTGGGTTGTTTCAGTTTTCATTCCCTGGATCTGTTATGATGTTTTCTGTGGTAAACGTTGTATTATATTATCACATAATTATATGTAATAATTATAGCTAATTATTCTGGGAGCATTTATTATGCTCTTAAGTGACTTGTTTTTATGTAAAAGCCAGAAAAAAAAATGTCTTGTTTTGCTTTTGCAGTGCTGAGAATCAAACCAAGTTTTGTACGTGCCAGACAAGCTTTCTTGTCACTGAAAATACCCCAAAAATGGTATTCTTAACTCACATCCTCAGAATTTTATTACTCTTTGCAGGACCCAGAGTTAGTTTTTCCTTTAAGTTCAAGATTTTGGATCGTTGTTATTGGCCAATGGAAGCTAGCTGTTATTCTCTTTGTTGTCTGTGTCAGACTTTTTGAGTTAAAGTAGTTAGTTTTCCAGTTTTAAGATTGTACCAGACCTTGGCTGCCTTCCTGGTTTCCACTGTGTGTGTGGGTATAATCAGATCCTTTGTAGGTGGGCTTGGGTTTTGAGCTCCTCCTGTTAGATTAAGGTGGCTCACAACTACTGTGGGGAAATGCTGAAGAGAAGAGGTCGTAGTGAGGGAGGAAATCTGAACAGCCTGAGTCCTGGGCTGCTGCTAACAATCTGCAGGATGTTTGTTTCTTGTCTACTCCAGCTGTCAAGTGGAATGTCATGGCCAGCTCCTCGGACAGTGAAGATGACAGTTTCATGGCTGTGGACCAAGAAGAAACTGTGCTGGAAGGGACAATGGAGCAAGACGAGGACCCCCACCCAGTACTGGATGTTGAGGAGCCTAGACATGACAGATCCATGTCTGAGCTGCCAGAAGAGGTCTTGGAGTATATCCTGTCCTTTCTCTCACCGTATCAGGAACATAAAACCGCAGCCCTTGTCTGCAAACAGTGGTATCGACTTATCAAAGGTACTGTGAAGGCAAAAGCTTTATTAATAAACCCTTTCAAATTGTGTTCAATGATTTATTTTTAGATTCCCAACTTCCTTTTCTCCCTTAAATGTATTATGATTATAAAATTTAGTATAAGACAACCCATTTTCCTTTTTTTTTATATTGGTTGGTTTTATGCATAGCTTGAATATATAGTATTTAAAATGAAGATTTACAGTTTAAAAATGAGGATTCTTTTTAAAAGCTTCATATTCTTTTTTTTTTTTTTTTTGGTACCAGGGATTGAATTCAGGGTCCCTCAACCACTGAGCCACATCTCTAGTCCTCAGGGTCTCACTGAGTTGCTTAGCACCTTGCTTTTGCTGAGGCTGGCTTTGAACTCATGATCCTCCTGAGCCTCTGGGATTACAGGTGTACACCACTACACCTAGCTCTAAAAGCTTCATATTCTTAAAGGTGATTTGGAAAAAGTTCTGTTGTACTTGAATAGGTAATGCAGGCATGGATATGAGAGAACTATAAGAGCTAACATGAATATTGCTCTTACTGTGTGTCAAGCACTATTGTAATTGCTCTCATCTCACAACAAACTACAATAGAATGTACTTCATTTTATAGATGAGGAAACTGAGGGGGGCAGTAACTAAATCAAGGTCACACAAGTAGTAAATGAAGGATCGAAGATTCATATTCAGTCATTTTGGCTTTAGAATCCTTGCTCTTAACTAGGAGATATATATATATATACATATACACACACACACACACATATATATAATCTCTCAAAGTAGCTTATTTTAGCAAAACGTAATCATGAAAGCATTTACTACTTAATTTTATCTTTAAGAAGCACAGACCCTCTGTGTATTTTTTACTTTTTTCTTTTTGTAGATTTTTCTTCTTGTAGATTGAACTCATGACCTAGTGCATGCTAGGCAAGTGCTTTACTACTGAACTACTACATCTCTAGCCCTTTTTAAATTTGAGACTGAGTCTTGCTAAGTTGTCCAGGCTGGCCTCACACTTGCAATCCTCTTGCTTTACCTTCCTGAAGAGCTGGGATTTCAGGCATGTACCGCCATGCTCAGCTAGGTGGGTTCACTCTTGACAATGTGCATTCTATGAGTTTGACCAAATGTACAACTCTGCATCCACTACTATACTACCACATAGTAATGTCACTGTCCTAGAACTCCTCTGTGCTTTGCGTAGTCATCCTTCTCTTTCCCCAATCCCTGCAACTACTGATCTTTCTTCTGTCTCCATTGTTTTGCCTTATTCCAGAATGTCATAGCCTTTCAAATTGCCTTTTTTCACTTAGTAATAAGAATTTCTGTTTTCTCTATGTCTGTTCATGGTTTGTTAGCTCATTTCTTATTAGTGAAGGGTAATAATCCATTTTCTGAATGAACCATAGTTCATTTATTCATTCACCACTAAAGGACATCTTCCCTGCTTCCCAAATTTGGTCATTGTGAATAAAGCCATTCTTACTATCCATGGGCAGGTGCTCCTATAGACGCAAGTGTTCAGCTCCTTTGGGTAAATACCAAGGAACACAGTTGCTAGGTAATATGGTAAGAATTTGTTCAGTTACATAAGAAGCCACCACACTGTTTTCTGAAGTGGCTGTACCATTTTCCATTACCACCAGCAACAGATAACAGTTCCTATTACACATCCTCAACACCATATTTAGTTGTCATTGTTTTGGAATTTCCCCATTAAAATAGACTTATAGTAGTTTGTCATTTTAATTTACAGTTATCTGATGATAAATTATATGGAGCATCTTTTCATATGCTTATTTGTCACCCATATATCTTTGGTTAGGTGGCTGTTAAAGTCTTTGATCCATTTTTAAAAATTGGATTTTATTTATTTATTTTGTGGTGCTGGGATTGAACCCAGGGCCTTGTGCATGCAAGGCAAGCACTCTATCAACTGAGCTCTATCCCTAGCCCACTATTTTTTTTTTAATATTTTTTTAGTTGTGAATGGACACAATATCTATATTTATTTTTTTGTGATGCTGAGGATAGAACCCAGTGCCTCACACATGTGAGGTAAGTGTTCTACCATTGAGCTACAGCCCCAGCCACCATGTTTTGTTTTGTTTTTTAATGAGTTCTTGGACTGGAGTTGTGGCTCAGTGGTAGAGTATTCACCTAGCATGTGTGAGGTGCTGGGTTTGATCCTCAGCATCATGTAAAGAAAATAAGTAAACAAATAAAATGAAGGTATTGTGCCCGACTATAACTAAAAAAAAAAAAATTAAAAAAAAGAGTTCTGTATATGTTTTGGATAATACACCTTTATCAGGTAAGTCTTTTGCACATATTTTCTCCCACTCTACAGCCTATTCTTTCATTCTCTACAGTGTTTTTAGGAGAATAGAAAATTATAATTTGGGGGGGGGGGGTCACTAGGAATTGGACCCAGGAGTGCTTTGCCACAGAGCTACTTAGATATTCAACCCTTTTTATTTTTTATTTTGGGACAGGGTCTTACTAATTTACTCTGGGTGGCCTCGAACTTGGGATCCTACTATCTTAGCCTCCCAAGTTGCTGGGATTATAGGGATGTGTCACTGCACCCATCCAGAAATTTCAGTGAGATCCAGTTTATCAATTCTTTCTTTCATGATTTTTGCCTTTGGTGTTGTATCTAAAAAGTCATCTCCAAATCTAGGGTCATCTAGGTTTTCTGTTACCTTCAATGAGTTTTATAGTTTTGCATTTTACATTTGGGTCTCTCCATTTTGAGTTAGTTTTGAAGGTATTCTGCTTTCCTTTTTCTGAATAGATAAGCTCAGTTCAGCACCATTTGTTGTAAAAGGCTTTTTCCTCCATTTTCTTGGCTTTGCTCCATAGTTAAAGATGGTGTTTAACTGGTACAGCTGTGCACACTGGTAATCCCAGCTGCTTGGGAGGCTGAGGCAGGAGTATTGCACATTCAAAGCCAGCCTCAGCAAAAGTGAGGGGCTAAGCAACTCAGTGAGACCCTGTCTCTAAATAAAATACAAAATAGGGTTGGGGATGTGGCTCAGTGGTTAAGTGCCCCTGAGTTCAATCCTGGTACCTTAAAAAAAGCAAGCAAGCAATGGGCATATGGATTAAAAATATTCTAATTCTTTTTAACTGTGAGTTCAGCTAAATTGAATTTATCATACTATGGGGATAGTGATCATCATGGAAAACATGTATAACTATGTACTGTGATTCTGCTTAAAGGTCTACTAAGGTTGCATAAATTGAGAAATGATAGATTCTTTCAAAATGTAACATAAAATTGATTGGACTTTTCCTTCAGAAGTTTGCACTGATGTAATCAGAAATTGAAATGAATGCGTTAGAAATAGGTTGTTCCTGAAACATAAAGCTTTCACCTTTTTAAATAGGCTATATTTTTTAGAGAAGTTTTAGGTTCCTAGCAAAGAACTGCTAAGTTCAGGAATTTCCCATATGCTCCCTGTCATTCAGCCTCCCTATTATCAGCTTTGTCCACGTAAGTGGAACATTTGTTACATTGACACATTATTATCACCTAGAGGTCATAGTTTGTATAAGGTTTCACTCTTTTTTTTTTTTTTTTAATATTTATTTTTTAGTTTTAGGTAGACACAATATCTTTATTTTATTTTATTTTTTATGTGGTGCTGAGAATCGAACCCAGTGCCTCACGCATGCTAGGCAAGCGCTCTGCCACTTGAGCTGCATCCCCAGCCCTAAGGGTTCACTCTTGATCTTGTACGTTCTGTGGATTTGGACAAATGTATAATGACATGAATTTACCATTGCAGTAAAGTCTGTCTGTGTCTGTCTGTCTGTCTCTCTCTCTCTCTTTCTCTTTTCTACATAGGCTCTTTTAAAAATTCTTTTTCCTTAGTTAAGAATTCATCATTTCATAATCTTTTATTAGCTTATTATTGTAGAATGCTTGGGAGCTGTGATCTATCTACAGATATTCACAATACTTACTAAATTACAGATACTGTCTTATCATATTCTTTCACAGAGCTAAATTATCCCATCACCCCTTTGCTTTGGAGAAAATAAATACCACTTATCTTGGTGTATTTTCTCATGATAAAGGGGGCCAGGGTTACAGTTAACCTTGAGAAAGTCAATAACCTCCCTGTATTTTGGTAAAATAAGGATTAGATCTTCCCAATTTGAAATTCTTTGATTGTTTCCTTTCTTTGAATAAAAAAATCAAAGAAATTAACCTAGATTAGTGGCAGGGAGGCTGAAGCAGGAGAAGCACAAGTTGAAGGCCAGTCTTGGGAATTTAGCCAAAACCTGTCTCAAAATAAAAAATACAAAGGGCTGGGAATGTGGCTCAGTGGTTGAATACTCCTGGGTTCAATCCCAGTACCAATCAATGAATAAATAAATAATCAATCAATCAATCAAAGAAATTTAGACTAGTTTTCTTTCTCTTTCACCACCAACTGGATTTTTTTTTTTTTAAGAAATCAGAAGAAGAGAACTAGAAGTTCAGACTTTCAGTCCAGTTTTGGACAGGTCCTTTAACCACTCTGGACTTATTTCCTTAATATGCTAATGATGCTAATCATGCCTATTTCAGAGCCAAGAATATTTTTTTAATATTTATTTGTTGTAGTTGAACACAATACCTTTATTTTGCTTATTCATTTTTATGTGGTGCTGAGGATTGAACCCAGGGCCTCACACATGCTAAGTGAGTGCTCTACCGCTGAGCTACAACCCCAGCCCTCAGAGCCAAGAATATTAAGATTGAATCTCATATATATATAATTCTAAGGCCTAAATGAAACAGCATAATATTCATTCTTCATATACAAAAAATGTTAATGGAAAACATCATCAGAGTATGAGCTGATGGCATAGAGACTAAAAAGCCTGTACTATTGGGCCCTGAAATTATCTGCTATCTCTAAGGGAACCATAGAAAACATGCTCTGTGGGAAAGATGATCGTCTAGATGAAATCATCACAAGTAAGAAAGCTTATTTCATTACTTTAGGCAAAAAATCATTTTAATATTTGTATCACTTAGGCCTACAGATTTGCCTCTTTCCATTTCTACCAAATCAAGCCATTTTCATTTGAGGGCATTCATGCATTAATGATCTTTTCTTTGCTTAGTAAGGCTGTCATATCTTTATGATTTAATAGTCATACAGATTCACCTTTTCTTCTTCTTTTTTGGTACTGGGGATTGAACTCAGGGGTACTTAACCACTGAGCCACTTCCCTAGGCCTTTTTTATATTTTATTTAGAGACGGGGTCTTGCTGAGTTGCTTAGGGCTTCCCTAAGTTGCTGAGGCTAGCTTTGAACTCATCCTCCTGCTTTAGCCTTCTGAGCCGCTGGGATTACAGGAATGTGTCACCACGCCTGGCCAAATTCACTTTTAAGAATTATACTCAATGAAAGCTTATACTGATATTTTGTTTGTTTTACTAATAATTCTTTTAAGGCCAAATAAAAAATCACGTCCATGTTTTCTTCTCCATTAAAAAAAAAGAGTTAAAGACACAGGCTTAATAATTTTACCTACAAGTTAAGTGTTGAAGCTCAGGCATTTGTTCTTCTATCTTTAGGTGTGGCCCACCAGTGTTACCATGGTTTCATGAAGGCTGTCCAGGAAGGAAACATTCAGTGGGAGAGCCGGACTTATCCTTATCCTGGAACCCCAATCACTCAGCGGTTTTCACACAGTAAGTATCTATGTGAAAACAAACCCCACTTGCCTCTGCTCATTTTCCAGAAACTATTTTGGTTGCATGTTTTTTATCTGACTTTAATGAAGAGAATGTAAAATGAGAGTATTAATTAAGTTCAACCAGAAATAGGAAAATTGTTAGCCTACATATATTGTAAGGACTGGTCATACAGCTTACTTCCTTGTATAGGCAAGGCCCTGGGTTTGATCCCCAAGCACCACAAATTAACAAATAAAAAAATTGGAGGTGCTTTATTAATTATTTTATATTCTGTTTTCTCCCTGGATTTTTCTATATTTCAAAGAGGTCAATGTATTATTTTGTATTTTATTTAAAGGCAGGATCTCACTGAGTTGCTTAGCACCTTGCTGTTGCTGAGGCTGGCTTTGAACTTGTGATCCTCCTGCCTCAGCCTCCTGATCCACTGGGATTGAGGCATGTGTCACTGTGCCTGGTGAGACCCTGTCTCACAAAAGGAGAAAAAGTAAATTACAGGAGGACCCATATCATTGAGGGAGTGTGACTTAATTTACAGATAACTGGAGTAAAAGGTAGGGACAAAATTTCTAAAGACCATTTTTTGAAACAAGTAGTTATAGTACTCTGAGAAGTTGAGTGAACCTGGGTATATTAGCTTCATGTTACTGTAGTGAAATACTTGAGGCAATTAAATTTTGAAAAAATTTACTTTGCTTATAGTTCTAGAGGTTCCAATCCAAGATCTGGAGGCCCAGTTGTTAGGCCTTTGGTAAGACTGGCACACCATAACAGGAGTGCGTGGTGGAGAAGCTGCTTATGTCACGAGCCAGGAAACAGAGAAGGCAAGCTGGGGTCCCAGAGTCCTCTTCAAGGGCATACCCCCTGTCACCTAAGGGCCTCCTACTTGTCCCCAACTTTTGAAGGTCCACACCACCTCCCAAGAGCTACTTTCTTTTAGCAAGATGGTCTAGTCTAACACATGACCTTTGGGGGACACTCCATCCATATTCAGGTGGTTACACTGGGTGAAATAGAAACCAGATTCGGAAATATTCCATTGTGAATGATCAGTTCAGCAACAGCTCCACTTTCTTATGAGAAAGGAAAAAGATATTTTTTGGTTAACTAGCTTTTGCAGATGGTATTGCCACAAAGTGGAGGCATTGTTTGAAGGGGCAGTGGAAAGGAATAGCTCATTGAGTAAGCCCACAGAAGTTCGGAAGTTGGTGAATTTGAATACTTTAAAACATTTTTCAGTCTTCACTTGAAATCCAAGAAAAGGTACCGTAGGTAGATATTAAAAAAAAAACCCAAAAACTGTGTCTAATTATCTCTTTTGATCTGTTATTGTTTTCTTCCCTTTGTCTCTACATTCTTTGACTAGCTAACCAGCAAGCTGAAAGGGACCATTACAGGCAAAAGGGCAGGTTTTCTTTGTTTAAGTTTTTGTCTTTTGGTGGTACTGGGGGTTGAACCCAGGGCTTAATACATGCTAGGCAAGTTCTCTACCACTGAGCCACTCCCCAGCCCTTCTGTGTTTTTGTTTTATTTTGAGACAGGGTCTCTTTAAGTTGCCCAGACTGGCCTTGAACCTAGGATCCTCCTGAGTAGCCAGGATTACAGGCGTGTGGCACTGTGCAGCAGAGGGCAATTTTCTTTTTTTTTCATATTTATTTTTTAGTTTTCGGCGGACACAACATCTTTGTTTGTATGTGGTGCTGAGGATCGAACCCGGGCCGCAGGCGAGCGCGCTACCGCTTGAGCCACATCCCCAGCCCCGGAGGACAATTTTCAAAATAGGTTGAAAACAAAAAGAATTCCTTTGATTTCTTTCCTTAGCTCCTTCCTCTTTCTGTTCTGTTTTCCCCTTGATCTAAGTTTCCTTTCCTATCTCTAATTCACATTGAGCTTGAGATCTGCATTTCTAATACTTGCCTGTGTTGCCATAGAGATACTAGATGTTTCATATTCAGTTAGCTAAAAGTAGAACTCAGTAGTTCCCCCCAAATTTTCTCCTTTCCTAATTTAGTTCATGTCATTATCATTTTCTTAGTTACACAGACTTGAGATCTTGGCTTCTTCCTCAGTTTCTCTCCTTCCTTTTTCTTAACAACTCAAATTCTGTTAATTCTATCCTATCTCCCTCATACCTTTTCTTTTTTCCTATCATCCTAATTAACAAACTAATCATTTCATCTTCTCTAAATCGTCACAGCACACATTTTTTTAATGTTATTTTTTTGTGGTGCTCAAGGCTCTGCACATGCTAGGCAAGTGTCTTACCATTGAGTTACACACTTAGTCCACAATACACTTTTTTTAAAAACCCAACTCTACCATTGTGCTATATCCTCAGTCCCTTCTAAAATTTTTATTTTGAGACAGGGTCTTGGTTAGTTGCTGAGGCTGACCTTGAACTTGTAATCCCCCTGCCTCAACCTCCCCAGTCATTGGGATTATAGGTGTGCACTATTGTGCACCACTGCTCACACACACACTCTTTTCCCCTACAGTACACCTTTTTTTTGGGGGGGGGGATACTGGGGATTGAACTCAGGAGTACTTGGCCACTGAGCCACACCCCCAGCCCTATTTTGTATTTTATTTAGAGATAGGGTTTCACTTTTGCTCGCTTTTGCTGAGGCTGATTTTGAACTTGCGATCCTCCTGCCTCAGCCTCCAGAGCCACTGGGATTAAAGGCATGCATGAGCCACCGCACCCACCCCCAACCCTTTTTATTTTTATTTTGAAACAGGGTCTTACTAAGTTGCTGAGGCTAGCCTCAAACTTTTGAACCTCTTACAGCAGCCTCCTGAATATTTGGTATTTACAGGCTTGTACCACTGCACTTGGTTGGAACCTTTTCATAATGATATAAAGGTTTATTGAGTCCCCAATATCAACCTTTGGAAAAATGTGAGTATTTAGGCTTTCAGTAGGGTCAGGTAGTTTCACATACTGATGGTCCTGCTCTTGCAGGAGCCGGCAGGCCCAGGCTGGGTAACCCCCCTTGCCTATTCCAGAGTTATGTAATTACAGACCTTATCAAATATGTTCTGGCTTGTTGATGTGAGATACGGAACAGCAGAGTCTCTGTAAGCATGGGATAAATGCCTGAGGGCCTTTCCCTGGAGACAGGTGGGGAAACAAAGGAGAATTTAACATCTGAAAGTGCAAAAGTTGGAATGTACAGTTCATTCATCAAGCATAGGGAATGCACCGGGCAGCATGGGAAATATGAAACTACAGGAAAATGTTGCGCGTGACGGTTATAATACAGTACAAAAATATTCAGAACTGTGACAAACTGTTTGCTTGCTGTGTTTAATTAAATTGTGAATATCTGACTTGTCTTTGAATAGGGACTATTAGATAGTAACCTGATCATAAAACAGTCAGACCCATTTTAGAAAATTTTGAAGAGATTTAACTTGGGTAAACAGTCTTAATATTTCCTGGCACAGTATTCATACTGCATTGTACAGCATATTCTAGTAGTCTAGATGTTTGGAAAGGAAAACCTTTTATTTGGGTGGAGAACCCGAGTAAAAGGGAAATGACTGCTTGAGCACTGGTAATTTGTTCAAATTCCTAGTTTTTCCTAAAAGGCCCATTGGATGTTCCCACTAAAATCAACATATAGGCATCTTAAGTAAAAATAAGCACTAAGCAAAGTTCAGCAAGATGCTTAAAATAGTGGAATGTATTATTGATTGTTATTTTCTCATTCCTTTATATATAAGTTCTAAACATAGCTGCCCAAATTGACTCCCTTTATTCCCAAGTTCCAGTGATAATTGACTGCTGATCATTGAAAATCCAGTTGTGGGCTGGGGATGTGGCTCAAGTGGTAGAGCGCTCGCCTGGCATGTGTGTGGCCCGGGTTCGATCCTCAGCACCACATACAAACAAAGACGTTGTGTCTGTCGAAAACTAAAAAATAAACATTAAAAAAAAAAACTAAAAGAAGAAAATCCAGTTGTGTATGAAACTTGCCGTTTCAGACCCATTGGCTTTGCATACCTTGGGCTGTGCTTTCCTCTTCCAGAAATCTTTGTTTGCTCAAAGAAAAGCAGGAAAATGCCTATTTCCATATTTTAGTATAGGACTAAAACACATGTAGTAAGAACCGCAGGGGGCCCTGCTGTTGGCTGGGTTTTCAATCCAGATAGAGAAGAAGAATGCTGTAGCCCCAGAACTCACACCATCTTTGAAAAATAAAGGCACTGTGCTTTTTTGCTACGTGAAGGAAGCAGATGCTGAGAGTTTTATGTGTGAGGAACTAGGAAACATAAACTAGCCCTTGGCTCTTCATGTGTGTATTTGTGGAGTTTTGTTGTTGTTGTTTTGTTTTTTTTGGTACTAGATTTTGAACCCAGGGACATTCTACTACTGATTTTTATCTTTTATTTTTGAGACAGGGTCTCTCTGAGTTGTTCAGGTTGGCCTCAAACTTGTGATCCTCCTGTCTCAGCCTCCCACATAGTTGCAATTACAGTTGTGCGCCACCTTGCCCAGCACCCTTGGCTCTTTTTTAACTATGAAATTATGAATTTGTCTTATTAGACATCATTATAAGTGAAACCAATTAAGGTTTTAGAACCATAGAACGTAGCTAGTTTTTGTTCTGGATGATCAAAAGAAGAGGACTGTTTTACACCTAGCATCCGTTGGTTCAGTTCAAAAGTACCCATGTGTTGGGGTTGCTAGTTCAGGATAGGTCTAACAGGACGAAAATTTCTGGTGTTGAGCCCTTCAGTGGAGATCAAAATGTGGCTCTGGTAATTAGTCTTTTGTTTGTCTAAAGTCCTCTAACTTGATTTTTTTTTTTAAATTGCAGTTCTAAGCCAATCTGAAATGGGAGCAATGGAATTTTATTAGACTTAATAAATATTCTTGTTGGGATGTGGGTTTAAAAAACTGATAAAACTATAGAAGTTATTTTTAAAGGTAAGGTGTCAATGGGAGGTGTGAGACCATTTACATCTTCATATGCCTTTCTGGCGTGAGTTCTAGGGCTGTAGTAAATACTGTGAAGGGTAAGCCTGTACTAGATGGCATCTTATATCTTCACATCTGTTTTCTCTGCTTTCTCCAATCTTTCAAAAGCCTGCAGCTCCATTGTTGCACATGCTGGTAGACAGATCATTTGAATTTATTCACTGTCTGAGATGACAGGGTGTAATGCCTAGACACATTGCTTTACTACCTCATGTAGTTTTCTGACTTGTCCTTCCTAGTGCCATCTTTAAAGAGCCTAACAGGTGGGCTGAGTAAAGGGAAAAAAGGGGTTGCTCTCAGCTAGTATATATCACAAAGGTCATTATGGTAATGGCACTGGATGACCAATAGTAGTATTATTTTTCCTTTCCTTCTCTCCCCTGGTGTGGGGATTGAACTTAGGGCTTTCCATATGTTAGGTGTTAGAATACCCAGTACCCAAGAAATCAAACTTGCTTGTAAATAGATTGGCAAGGTAAAAAAACAAAACAACAACAACAAAAAACTTGTTCTTCTGCAGAAGGGTGTGACCCCAGAGGCCAACAAGCAAGCACACCTGGGCAGGCAGTCCACCAGGTTTTATCCCTAGTGAAGCACTGCCCCTTGCTCTGATAGGAAGAGTTCAGGGGTACAGTCTACACAATTAGCCGATTTAAAATTGGGGAGGGTACAGAAAAGGGCTGCAGTTATGTTTGGATACCTGTTAAGAGAATTTTGTTTGTTTGTTTGGGGTACTAGGGATTGAACGCACAGGCCCTAAACCACTGAGCCACATCCCAGCTCTTTTTTAAAAAATTTTAATTTATAGACAGGGTCACACTAGGTTGCTCACAGCCTCACTAAGTTGATGAAGCTGGCTTGGAACCTGCAATCCTCCTGCCTCAGCCTCCTGAGCTGCTGGGATTATAAGCATGAACCACCAAGCCTAGTCTTGTTTGGGAATTTTAAAATGGCACCATTCTGACCTCATGGTTTCCTAACTTAAAATGGCTCCATCATACACATGAAATTTAGGTTACAATAAACATATTTGTATTTCATTACAGGTTTAGATTTGATAGAAAAGAAAACATAAATCTTACCTAGGCAAATGCTCTACCACTGAGCCCCAGCCTCAGTCCCTCTTTACAATTTTATTTTGAGATAGGATCTTGCTAAATTGCTCAGACTGGCCTCAAATTTGTGATCCACTGGCCTCAATCTCCTAAGTAGCGGGATTACAAATGTGAACCACCATGCCCAGCATGGTCTTTGCAGTTTTAGGGTAAGAGTCCTTCTTATAGTCTGCCTCTTTTTCTTAGAAATGGTGATATGTACATAATCATCTAATTTAAAGGGCTCTTCTCTGAGACCTTAGTCCTTTTTAAAGGTTTCTTAAGTATGCCAGTTTTCTAGCTGGCACCAGCCAGCATGCCTTTTGTAGTTTTTGGGAGCCTGCCTTAGTAGCTTTTGGAATGCCTAGGAACTTAATAACTTGTGAGCTTTTGTTGTTGTTGCTTTGGAATCAGTTCAGGCTCACACTACTGAGCCCTGGCTGCATTTTGGAATTCATAAAATTGGTGTTGTGTTAGTTGCATTGATCTTTAGGCATGATTACTTCATGTCATTGATAAAACTGTTTCACAGTTGTTGTCACTGAATTTCATAGGGAGATTTGTGTACAGTTTTACCCTTCAGGTTTCATTTGAAAACAAAAACAATAGGAGGAGGGATGGAGGAGAGGAGTAGGAGGGCAGAGGGCAGCTCAGAACCATCTTAGCCTTGCCCTAGAGGATATTGATACACATTTAAATTGTTTCCCTTGTGGAGCATCCTTAATTTGAATTCCCTTGTGTTCTTGCTGGAATCATTGTGTCTTACTTAATGACATCATTGTTACTTGCTTACTTTCTCAAAAATAAAATTTCATGGCTTTTCTCTGGGCCTTATTTTAAAGGATAATATGTTTGATGAACCTAAAGACAAGAGGCTGGTTAAAAAAACTTGGTTCCTGGTAATAGACTTAGTTAATGTGTAGAATATTTGAAATTTAAAACATATGGACTATGGTTTCAGTGTCGAACAGGCCTCAATATTAAGCAGCAATAACATATTATTGTTGTTTTCTTTCTAGGTGCATGCTATTATGATGCTAATCAGTCTATGTATGTGTTTGGAGGCTGTACCCAGAGCAGCTGCAATGCTGCCTTCAACGATCTCTGGAGACTTGACCTCAATAGCAAAGAATGGATCAGACCTCTGGCTTCAGGTAAGAGATAAATGCTGATCTTAGCCTCCTTACCAAGTAATTCCCTTGTCATGGAAATTCTGCCTGATCTTTTTTGGTGTTGGTCTCAGGCATAGGTTACTGGGGTCCCAAATCTCTTGCCAAATCTGCTATATAAATGCTAAGATTAATATACTTGGGTAAGTCTCTGATTTTTAAAAAGTTGTACTTCATCATTAGTTTTGGTTCCTTGCCAAAATCATTATGCTACTGTGTGAATTTATTCATGTGCTTTTCTCAAGTTCTTGTACAGGTGTGATGTGCTGTTTGCTATGAGGTTGAAGTTAGTGCAGAAACAGAATCGTGAGAACTATAAATGACTGACAGAAGCTATTGTCCCAGGGCTAAGGTCTCAGAATATCTTTTGTTCTTGCCAGCTCAGATATTTGGGGAGTGTATGGGACATGCCTCTGCTAGTTCCTCTTAACAACTCAGGAGTGTGGGAAGATTCCGTAGTAGGTACATTCCTTCACAGCCCTGCTCTGCCAGAATTTTGGCAGAATGAAACTAGATTATTTTCTACATTCTTATTCAACCTTTCCTGGAAGAAAAAAGTAAAAACACAGCTGAGTTTGCACTGACAAGACAGGGCAATTTGAAGGGACACAGTTATGATTTGAGGGACTGGTACAAAATATAGTCCTCAATATAAGGTGTACTGCTAGATTTGTTGGCAAACTTTTCCCAAAACATTCTTCATTTAGCTTTTCAAGGTTAGAGCTCAGTGTTAGGACTAAGGAGACTGGGTTTTCCATGGCGGGTTCCGTATTCATTTAGGCTTTGCCTTTACTACTTGGATTGCTAGATTGTAGGCAAGATGGTCTTTTATAAAAGGCAGGGTGCTGGAATAGATACAGACTTCATTTCCTGGCATAATCACCAATTCTCTATTTAACTATGAGCAGGTAGGTGTACCTGTGTGAGAAAAAAGGTGGAGTAGGACTAGGTGATTCTGCTTTCAAGTGGGCTGGGAAGGCCAGTTATGTTTTTGTGTTCACAGTGAATGTAGGACAAGTTTTAAAACTACTTAAAAGAAGCATTTTGCTGTCCTAAAGCTGAACTCTCCTGTTCCTTCTCTGTGGTAGACAAATAGAGGAGGAGGACAGGGACAGGATACTTACTGGATGGAGCTGGGTTTTGTGCCGAAGATCTGTATTAAGATTATTGAAAATATGAGGAAATGGTAATCTTACAGAAACTTTGAAGGTTAGCACTGTTGTATTGGCCCTCAAAATTTCATACTTCAGAGGGTCTGCTTTTCTAGTCCTTTGTGCAGTATCAGTGTTTGGAGTCCTGATTCTGCAGTGTGGCTCTTATTAGCTGAAGCTTCTTGTTGTCACTGTACTTGGTGTTTTGTCCAGCCTGCACTTGAGAGCGGCTTTGATTGCTCCAGTCACAAAATAATAATACTGCCTTTCTCTGGTTTGAACCAAGCTTTGTGCCTTTGGTAATTGGGCATGGATGTAACCCTCTCTTGTGAAAATGGAGTTCTAGAACCTTCATAGACTGATACTACTTGTTATTTTTCTCTGTAAGACGGACAGGGGGCTTTTTTTGTGTTGGGGGGTTGTTGTTTTTGTTTGTGTTTTTCTTGTTGTTTGTTTGATTTTCAGTACTGGGGTTAGAACCCAAAGCCCTTGTGTGTTCTAGGCAAGTGCTCTGCCCCTGAGGGACATCCTAGCCTAGGAGGTTTTTGTTTTGTTTTGTTTTTAAAATCAGTGTTTAAAGGCGACACTTTGAAATTCCCTTGGTAGAAAAGTGTTGGAGAAGTAACTGGTTTGGTAATTCAGTTTCTATATAGAACATTTAGAATGTCCTCTTTTTAAAATATGTAAGTTCTCAAATATTTTATTTTCTTACAGTCTCTCAAAGAATCTAGCTGTTGCCTCACCCTAATCCACAATTAAAGCCTAAGTCCAGCAGTGGAGGAACTGAACTTTTTGAAATGTTTGCTTTACAGAAACAATGGTTTAATAAAGAGTCCTGTGAGATTCTCACTTAGACAGAAATCCCATGGGAAGATTGCCTGGAGGAATGTTTCTGTTCTGAGTTCCAACCAGAATCACTTCCTAACTGAGACCTCAGGGTGTCTGATTAAAACAGTTGTCCATGTGTCTGGTGCTCCTGACTTGCACAGAGCTCAGAGGCAGAGAGTTGCAGGTTGGCGAGGGGAGGGTGTTACTCTCTCCTTTTGGTCACAGTTGAAGGGGAGTCTCATAGTGTTCGGGTGTGTGCAAGCAGCGATAGTAGCTCTAACAGTATTCTGTCTTCAAAAATGTAGTTGTTGGAGAAGTAAGAGTGTCTGTCCTTCCATCAAGTAGGGCCCTTGTGGTTGATAGCAGAGTCTTTTTTTAATTTTTTATTTTATTTTATTTTATTTTTTTATTAGTTGTTCAAAAACATTACAAAGCTCTTGACATATCATATTTCATACATTTGATTCAAACGGATTATGAACTCCCATTTTTACCCCGGATACAGATTGCAGATTCACATTGGTTACACATCCACTTTTTTACATACTGCCGTACTAGTGTATGTTGTATTCTGCCCTTCCTATCTTCTACTATCCCCCTTCCCCTCCCCTCCCCTCCTCTCCCATCTTCTCTCTCTAACCCATCTACTGTAATTCATTTCTCTCCCTTGTTTTTTTTCCCCTTTCCCCTCACTTCCTCTTATATATAATTTTGTATAACAATGAGGGTCTCCTTCCTTTACCATGCAATTTCCCCTCTCTCTCTTTCCCTCCCCCCTCTCATCCCTGTTTAATGGTGATCTTCTCATGCTTTTCCTCCCTATTCTGTTCTTAGTTGCTCTCCTTATATCAAAGATGACATTTGGCATTTGTTTTTTAGGGATTGGCTAGCTTCACTTAGCATAATCTGCTCTAGTGCCATCCATTTCCCTGCAGATTCCATGATTTTGTCATTTTTTATTGCAGAGTAATACTCCATTGTGTATAAATGCCACATTTTTTTTTATCCATTCATCTATTGAAGGGCATCTGGGTTGGTTCCACAGTCTAGCTATTGTGAATTGTGCTGCTATGAACATCGTTGTAGCAGTATCCCTATAATACGCTCTTTTAAGGTCTTTAGGGAATAGTTCAAGAAGGGGAATAGCTGGGTCAAATGGTGGTTCCATTCCCAGTTTTCCAAGGAATCTCCATACTGCTTTCCAAATTGGCCGCACCAATTTGCAGTCCCACCAGCAATGTACAAGTGTACCCTTTTCCCCACATCCTCGCCAGCACTTGTTGTTTGACTTCATAATGGCTGCCAATCTTACTGGAGTGAGATGGTATCTTAGGGTGGTTTTGATTTGCATTTCTCTGACTCCTAGAGATGGTGAGCTTTTTTTTCATGTATTTGTTGATTGATTGTATGTCCTCCTCTGAGAATTATCTGTTCAGGTCCTTGGCCCATTTGTTGATTGGGTTATTTGTTTTCTTATTGCTTAATTTTTTGAGTTCTTTGTATACTCTGGATATTAGGGCTCTATCTGAAGTGTGAGGAGTAAAAATTTGTTCCCTGTATGTAGGCTCCCTATTTACCTCTCTTATTGTTTCTCTTGCTGAGAAAAAACTTTTTAGTTTAAGTAAGTCCCATTTGTTGATTCTTGTTGTTAACTCTTGTGCTATGGGTGTCCTATTAAGGAATTTGGAGCCCGACCCCACAATATGTAGATTGGAGCCAACTTTTTCTTCTATCAGACGCAGAGTCTCTGATTTGATATCAAGCTCCTTGATCCATTTTGAGTTAACTTTTGTGCATGGCGAGAGAAGGGGATTCAGTTTCATTTTGTTGCATATGGATTTCCAGTTTTCCCAGCACCATTTGTTGAAGATGCTATCCTTCCTCCATTGCATGCTTTTAGCCCCTTTATCAAATATAAGATAGTTGTAACTTTGTGGATTAGTCTCTGTGTCCTCTATTCTGTACCATTGGTCCACCCGCCTGTTTTGGTACCAGTACCATGCTGTTTTTGTTACTATTGCTCTATAGTACAGTTTGAAATCTGGTATCGCTATACCGCCTGATTCACACTTCCTGCTTAGAGTTTCTTTTGCTATTCTGGGTCTTTTATTTTTCCATATGAATTTCATGATTGCTTTATCTATTTCTACAAGAAATGTCATTGGGATTTTGATTGGCATTGCATTAAACCTATAGAGTACTTTTGGTAATATCGCCATTTTGATGATGTTAATTCTGCCTATCCATGAACAGGGTATATTTTTCCATCTTCTAAGATCTTCTTCTATTTCTCTCTTTAGGGTTCTGTAGTTTTCATTGTATAAATCTTTCACCTCTTTTGTTAGGTTGATTCCCAAGTATTTTTTTTTTGAGGATATTGTGAATGGAGTGTTTTTCCTCATTTCCATTTCAGAAGTTTTGTCGCTGATGAACAGGAATGCCTTTCATTTATGAGTGTTGATTTTATATCCTGCCACTTTGCTGAATTCATTTATTAGCTCTAGTAGTTTCTTTGTAGACCCTTTTGGGTCTTCTAGGTATAGAATCATATCATCTGCAAATAGTGATAATTTAAGTTCTTCTTTTCCTATTTTTATGCCTTTAATTTCTTTCGTCTGTCTAATTGCTCTGGCCAGTATTTCGAGAACTATATTGAATAGAAGTGGTGAGAGAGGGCATCCCTGCCTTGTTCCAGATTTTAGAGGGAATGCCTTCAATTTTTCTCCATTCAGAATGATGCTAGCCTGAGGCTTAGCATAGATAGCTTTTACAATGTTAAGGTAAGTTCCTGTTATCCCTAGTTTTTCTAGTGTTTTGAACATAAAAGGATGCTGTACTTTGTCGAGTGCTTTTTCTGCGTCTATCGAGATGATCATATGGTTCTTATCTTTAAGTCTATTGATGTGGTAAATAACTATAGAACTCAATAACACAATCAATAACCTAGACTTAACTGACATATATAGAATATATCAACCATCATCAAGTGGATATACTTTTTTCTCA